CCCCCCCCCCCCCGACAAGGTCCGCCACACCCACAGTCCCCCCAGCAATTGCCCCACACCTACCTGCACACCAACCCACATCCCTCCATACACACCAACCCACCTTCCCCCACACCCCTTCCCACCCCCTTCCTGCAAACACCACATCCCCCTATCACACGCCCATCATTTGCAAAGGAAACCAAAAGTATCCATCAACACGTATAGGTATTTAGAATTTGTTTTATTGTGATAGAGACATTGGTAGGCTTCCACATTGCTTTAACATTGTAAATATACCAATAAAGCATTGCCCAACTGATTGCGCGCGCGCACGCTCTCTCTCTCTATATAGCTATGTCTATATATGTGTATATGCATATGCATGTGTGTGTGTATAGTGGTCTTTTGTTTTAATTATGGAAAAACACGGATTTTGAGGTATTTTTAAAAATGGATTTGGGATGCTGCTGCAGCAGCTGGCACAAGGGGTAGTGTCCCCAGTTACCAAGTGGGTGGGCCCCAGAAGCTCCTGAGAGTGAGTAGCCCTGAGCTGCTTGCCAGGGCAGCTTTTTGTACGGATGGGGTCAGATCAAGGCAGCTTTATATACTGCTGGGAACAGCACAGGTGCTGGCCGGGGGCTCTAGCTCCCCCTGGCTGCAGATCCAGGCGGAGCCAGGCAGAGTTATTTTGCCCCAAGTGGCACAATTTGCTCCACAACAAACTGCATGTCCAAGGATGTGCGCTGAGGCAAAAAGCTCTGGCTCAAATTTGCACCGCTTCTATTTGAGCTGCTACAAGCGCACGTGCTTGCATGTGTGGACGCACCCAGAGGTTTCAAATAGGAATGTCCATATGTAGTGTCCAAAACATTCTGACCTGTTGTGGGATTTCTTAGTTTTTTGCAAAATATTGCTCTATTGTTTTTCCACAATCAAGAAATGAGTGATAGCTAAGAGCTGCAGGCACATATACACACGCCCGATGCCTGCTCTGATGCTTTCTAGTTACGAGCTGTAGGTAAAGTGCCCTGGTCACCATTTTGAAGTGCAGGACACCAAATACATGAGAAGCTGTGGGTGCTCCTGAGAGCCCCTCCAATTAAAGCATGTCCATCCTCCCCTCATCCCTACCCCAGAGCACGTGTAAAGACATCCAAAGATTTTTCTGAGGAGTGCTTTAAATCTAAAAAGATTGAGAACCACTGGCTTAGATAATGATAGTATCCCCTTTTGGCCTTTTGTGTGAAACTGTAGTGCAGCTTTAAAAACACAACAGACCTTTGGGGTTTTTTATTGCTGTGTATTTAAAATTCTCAGCCATCGCATTACATTAATGTGATGTTATTTGCAGCACTATTCCCTAAGGCAAGGTGATCAACATGCCACAGGAGGATATCCAACACATTTTATGAGAGAGAACTCCTCAGTCGTTCTTTTGATTAGGAAGCGCAAAGTGGGTGGGCTCCAGGCATCATTTATTCACTGCCTTTTTTTTCTTTTTTTTGAAAGGCTCATTCTTATCTCTCCTTTCTTCTCACCCCCTCCACAGTCCGTTTCAAATTCTCAGACAAGAGTTGGAGACTGAAATCAACGTAAATGATCTCATAAACCGATTAGTTATAAAACACATGTTACTGTGTCCTTATTCTATTTTTGCACTTGTAAGTGAGTGTGTGTGGTATATTCTGCTGTTCCTTGTGCCAAGGTGCTCTGTGATTTTTTTTTTCTAGTCATGTGTGAATGTCTCTGATGTTCAGGAAAAATTGTGGGAGAGTATTTGGGGACTGTTAATGTTTGAGTGACTTGGTCTGCTTCCTCACTCAAGTGGTAGGATTCCGGTGTAAGTGATAAAACAGCTAGTTTCTGCTTTTTTTTTTTTTCCTCCAGCAAAGTTGACTAGTATAAGTTGAAGCACCTCCAAATCTGAGTAATAGGATTTTGTTTTTTAGCATGGCATGGCATGCATGCTAACTCCCAGGTAAATTCTACAGTGGAAATAGACTTCATATATTGAATGCTTTTTTAACTCTGGGGTAAGTATGTCAGTGCTTGAGGTTATTCAGGAACCCCCATTCCTGGTTTGTTCTGTATAAATGTGCCATAAAGTCATATTGTGCAGACCAGAAGCTAGCAGACAAGTATATAATTAGTAACTTTTTTTTAAGTAAATGCTACTTAGCAAAATAACTTGGAAACATTTTGTATATAAATCTATCTATAAATTATTCATAGGCTAACCTGTTACACAGGTTATTCCACCAATTCTTTAGATTAATGAATGCACGCAATTCAAATATTTATGTTTACATTAGGAAATGACTCATGGTACCTGGATATGTTGTCCCTTGTTATCTAGTTAGATCCCTCAAATGTGCTGAGACTCATTTTTGCTGGACATGGTATGAAATGAGTTGTGGGGTCAGACTACTCTGTTACTGAACCAGTAGGATTGCAACAGCACAATTCTAGCACTGATGCTAACAACAGTGCAGTTCTTAGCTTTCAAGGACATATGCCTGCCAATTTGGGTATGTTTAGGGAATAAAATAGAGGACAACTGAGGTTATAAATTACCTTGACTTCAACTATTGTTATTTTGTGTTTCATCAGCATTCCATACTAATGAAGCAAATCTAATAAATCCATTTTATCTATGGTCCAGGTCCTGGTTTCATGTGACTAGAGTCCCAGCAGAAGTCCAGACAACTATTTGGGATGCTCTGTCTGAGAATATGGATCTAATTATTTGTGGGACTTGAGGACACAGTCATTTCCCTTAAGTATTCAAGGATAACATTACACTATATAAAAATGTATACGTCTTTGCCCTACCATAAGTCCTGCAGTTTCTGTCCCTCTCAAGGGCAGAGACTACAGCTATATTTTCCAAGACACCAACCTGAATATCTCCCCAGAAAATGACCTCAGTGTTGTAAGGGGTGCTAGTGTTCATGCTTCTCTCCCTTCAATCGACAGTAGGATTAGTGAAATGGTTTGAGCCACAGTGAGAACAAGATTCTACAACTGAACTTGGAAATCATCTCACCCTTTTCCATGGGGTGTTGCAGGAGCTTGCTTGACACATGAGAGGTGGATATTTCCATTCACAACTCCCCTCATCTAAGTCCTTCTCTGTACCCTACCAACTTCCATTCAGTATCCCTTTTCAGAGGGACCCTTCTCAGGAAAGCCTATCACAAAAAGCTCTGCCTTGGATCTATAACACAGGGGCAGAAACTTTCACCTATTATTCCTAATTGCAAAGAAAGGATGCCTGTAGACATGTGGAGACATTGCTCTGACATTCTGTAACTACAGTGCCTCGGAGCAGACTAGATCAATTGAGTCTGCTGGAGCATGTTCATTGTTTGGGGCATAATACAGCAGTTGAGGGGGCAGGCATATGAAGCAGGGAGCAGAAAGCAGAAAAAGGGGATTGGAGTGGCACTTGTGGAGAGTGCAGGGCTAATTTCTGAATTAATTGATGCCACCGAACTATAGTAACTGCAAAAATTCTAAAGTATATCAAGAAGTTAGGAGTGATGCTTTTTAAGTGTACAAAGTCAAATGTTCTCCTCTTCTTCTTTAAATCTTGTTGAATGATAAACTAAACTGAAATTTTCTGTTACATCAAGAAATATGGATGGAACCGTTCTGTGCATCTATGAAGAGAATGATACAGTTTGTGCTGGGAAGAAATATGACTATTTAACATATAATTTTGAGGAAATCTACCATGCTATATTTATGTGGTTGTTATAGCTAGAGAGAACTGGGTTATTAAACACCAAAAGAAAAACTATATATAAAAAAATCCAAAGCAGTTGTGCACCATTATTGTAAAATGTGCTAGTTTTTTTAGGGTTTTCAAGTAAAATAGGAAACAAATTTCTCAACACTTCATTATGATATTTCATGATTCCATATTCAAACCACTGTACAAACATTAACCAGTTAATCTTCCCAGCACCAGGTGAAGTAACTAACTTTATTATTCCTACATTCGCTGCTGGAAAAATTAAGGCTCAGGCACAGCCACCAGATAATGCTGCTGTTACAACAAGGATTCAAATTCAGAATCCTCTTGTTAAGAGTACGATCATATGTACATTATGGTAAGATTAAGGCCAATGATGTAGCAGTGATTCTCAACCAGGGTGATACAAGATCCTTTTAATGGTCCTGCAGGTTGTCCTATATTATTAGCCTTGTTAGGTGTACAAACCCACGATTCACAAGATAAACCCAGAGATTTCTAATAGGAATCCATAATGTCAAAAACATTCTGATTTGTGGTCTCTGTGAGTTTTTTGAAATAGAAAAATTGCTGTACAGTATTTTTCCTTCTATCTGGCCCACAGCAGGTCCCTTGGCTCCATCTGGCCCAGGTGCAGGGGGTAGCTTGGGCCATGGTACATGCTACCAGTTTCACTAACCCCGTTAGCATGATGGGGCTTGTGCAGCACAGCAGCCAGACTCAGCTTCCTGGCAGCTGCAGCACCAATAGCTCCCTCCAGCTGTTGTTGCCAGTCTTGCTACCACTACTGGACTTGGATACACTAACCGGGAATCCCGCAACCAGTGCTGAGGGTGCTGGACAGAGCAAGCAGGTGGGTTGGGTCTCCATGGAGACTGGCCTGGGACCCCTGCTGTCAGGATATGCGCAGCTGGGCAAATGGGATGGGGCTGCAGGCAGGGAGTGGTGTCCGGGAGCGGGACAGGCGGCCAGAGCTGGGATCATGGGGTAGTGACTGTGTGGAGCTGACACCTGGGGCAGAGCCATGATCCACTCCCTGCACATCCCTACCTACAGACTGGCACCCATCTTGGGGGCATGTGGGAAGCTGATTGCGGCTCTGCCCTTGGCCCCAGCCTCACGCTATCCCTGCCCGACAATCCTGGTCCTGCCTGCTCATCCTGTTCCTGGATGCCACTCCCTGCCCAACTGCGGCCCCATTTCATTCTAGCCAAATGTGTCCAGCCTGGGGGGGTCCCAGGCTGGTCTCTGTGGAGACCCTGCCTGTCCTCCCGCTCCATCCAGGACCTGGGTGGTGGGTGCAGGAAAGACAGTCCCAGGCCAGATAGGATCAATTGCCACCCCTCCCCACACACACACGCTGCTGGGAAGAGTCAGTACTCCCTTCCCCCCTCCTCGCTCCACAACAGCTCACCAAAATTCCCCAAGTGGCCTTTCAGCTCAATTAGTTGTGCACCCAGATGTATAGGTATGATTAGTTTTCTCCATATGTATTACTTTGCACTTATTGTTAAATTTATTCTACCGTTGTGTTGCCCACTTGCTCAGTTTTGTGAAATCTTTCTGTAACTCTTTACCATACATTTTGGATTTCCTGTTGCAGTTCTCATATTTTGTAATGAAGTGAACATCTTCCTGTGGGTTTTAGAAGACTCCATTGGACAATGTTTATGAAGTGCTTTGAAAACTTAGGATGGAGTGTATGGCAGAAGTACTCTAATTGATATGATTTGAATTTGTATTTCTTCCTGTTTCCTTTTTCTTAATTTGACTGCCCAAGTGTTCTGAAAAGCCTGACCTCTCTTCTCATATATAGATTTTGTTGGACTTTAATTAGCATATTAATGTGCTTTTAACCCATAGAAGCTAAGAATGTATCATTTCAGTATTGTGATGCTTCCAGATGGCATTTAGAGCTTCAAATTTTACTCCTGATAGGCTCATGCTGTGCCCTCCTCCCAGCAGTTTGTCAGAAGATTAAAGGCCCATTAGCTTTCAGCTGTTTCTTTTTGAATCAATGTTTTTTTTTGTAACACTGAATTCCCCTGCTTCCTTCCAGCTAAACAAATGGCAGCACAATGTGTGACAAAGGTGGAGATGTCAATCTCTTGCAACAATCTGTTGGATAGAGATGTTGGTTCAAAGTCAGACCCACTCTGTGTGCTTCTCCAGAATACAAGTGGGCAGCAGTGGTACGAGGTACGTATGACACTTCTTCCTCAAGCACTCATAGTAATCTAGTGTGGTCTGATTTTCCTGGATGCTCTCAATTAAAATAATGGGGCACAGGATTGAAAGCAAATCTACTGTACCCTTTAGGTCTGACTGCATCTATATGGACTGCAGCCCTTTCAGATATTAGTTTTACCATTCTGATGGTAATTCTGTTTTACTTAAGTAATTATAATAACAGCATGACATTCCTGAGAGATTCTGCAGAGTGGAGACAGACAGACTGTCTTCCAGTGCATTGCAGACGCTTGCTAACAGATAATGATCTCATCCAGAGCAGCCAGATTTTCTTAATATGTTACTACTTTTTTCTCTCTCTTGCCTTGGATTTTAGACAAAATAAGTTATATTTTTAATGTATACAAGTTCAGCTTTAGCTGCATTTTAGCAGTGAGATATCTGGTCCTTGAATCTCTCTTAACTTCAGCAAATGGATTTTTTAAATTTTACACTGTCATATGTCTTGTTACATGTAGTGAAAGGACTTACAGAAATGCATATTTCTGTTCTTTTCATTTATGCATACCAGACCAGCCTCTGGCTTCCTTACTGTTCATTCCATCCAGGAAGAGCACACACCAACTGCAGAAACTTTCTTAGCCTGATGAAGGGTTTTTGAACCCGAAAGCTTGCTTAATAATTGTTTTCCAACTATTTAAGTTGGCTAATAAAAGATATCACATTCACCCAAAGAACCTTGTCTGCATATTTCTGTTCTTGCACCTAGCAGGGCTTTTGAAAACTTCACATGAGATAACTTTTAGTTTTGGCCACATGTATAGTTTGAATTCTAGGTAATGAGCTGATTAGTAATCTGCTATGTTTCTGTCTGCAGCTTGATCGCACAGAAAGGATTAAGAATTCCCTGAACCCAAATTTTTCCAAGAAATTCCTCATTGATTACTATTTTGAGCTTGTTCAGAAGCTCAAATTTGGAATTTATGACATTGACAATAAAACCATTGATCTGAATGATGATGACTTCCTGGGAGAATTTGACTGTACTCTTGGACAAGTGAGTACAAACTGCAGTTTGAATATGTGAATGCAGGTCTTGGATACTCTATTCCCTACTTGATTTCTCCTAGGATTAAGTCACAGTGACTCTTCTTTTAAGCTCTTAATCACTTTGTGACCATGCATGCATGAAGAGAGTACTCTAAGTGACAAATAAGATTCTTATTTGGTTTTGGTTTGGTCTCCATTTAATTAAGGACAAAAGAACAAATGCCGTGAAATTTGTCTGTTGTACTCTGTTAGCTGTAGAATATCTGGGGTAATTTAATGCACAAGTAGACTAGGAATAAACAGTAAGTGAAGAATATTCACTACTAAATGCCTATTTTTAGTCCAAAGAACATAGTAAATTTTGTTCCCCCTCAGTGGTATAATGGGGATGAACCATGAACAAGAGGGAAAAGAATGACTGAAACCGATGCATGGATACATGCATATGCCATCAAGGCCCTTTGTGACTATGGTATGATTCCTTTCTAGTGAAGGTAGCAATTATTGTCTCTCTACTTTACTTTTCTCTTGGATTTCACTCGATTCTGCTCCCTTATTTCCCGGTGGGGTCTCTAGAGGGTCCACCAGAAGGAGGTGCGCCTATATTGGCTGTAATGGTGGCATAATGTTTCCTACCAGCACCTCTCTCTTTGGGGCTGCATTAGCTTTTGCAGTAATAAAAACAAAGATTTTCTTCTTTAAGGGAGAAGACCACAGGAAAAAGCAGGTTTCCTCTTGCAGGCTGGGAGCATTCCACATTCCAGCCTTCAAGGAGCTGCTTGAAGCTGGAAGGAGCTGGGGGGGCAGGGGGAGGAGTGGGCAGTGAGCGATCGGGAACAGGGAACGCCATGTGTGTATGTGTGCGCACATGCATGTGGCTGGCACACAGCCAGGCAGGGTCGTGGGAGTAACCTTAGCAGCTGGATGCAGGTAAGTATGTGGTGGGTGGGATTGGAAGGCCAGGGCTTGGGGACTGTCGTGAGGGCGTTGGGGGAGAGGGAGGTGTGAGGCATTTCTGTGGCAGGAGTATGTGGAGGAGCAGGTGCCTGCAAGCACTGGGGGAAGGTGTCTGGGCATTTGAAACTGCGGCGGGGCAGGGGGAGGCGCCATATTCCCCTCCAGGTGGGGAACATGGTAGGGGGGCATTTGGGGGATGACGGAGAACTGTGTGGCCAGTCTGGTGGCACCGGGGCCAGTGCCCATGCTTGCAGGGGTGGCGTGGCCAGCAGATGGCTTGGGGGTGAAGGGCAAGGGCTGGGCACCAGCATATCGAGGTGCTCAACACTGCAAAACACTGTTTAGACAGCTGCAGCTGAACCCACATCTTGGTGAGCAAAGGTGTGAGAAGGAGCTCTGATTTTTCCATGATTTAAAAAAAAAAAGAAAGAAAACACCAAAATATATAGGAATTTAGAATTTATTGTATCATAATGATTGAGGTATTGATAGGCTTCCAAATTGCTTTAAAGTTGTAAATATATCAATGAAACATTGTGTTAAATTAATACCTATGGGTGTATAAGTGGCATTTCATTTTAATCATGGAAAAAATGAAGATATTGTGGGTTCCTTTAATCGGAGAATTTGGGATTTTTTAATTAGGGAATGTGCAGTTTTTAAGTAGAGAAAGCCAGGATCCCTGTGTGTGTGTGAGAGAAAGATCTTATCCTAGTTGCAAGCTGTGTTATTTAGTGGTTAAAACTCCTCTACTAATTCTGTTGTTAAAAATTTTGGTGTATTAAGACTGACTTCCTTGTTTGTTGTTTAACTTCTGGATTTGTAACTGATGTTATATTGCTAAATGTCTTTAAATATCAAAATACATGGAAGGGTATTGGAAATAAATATAATTGTATATGGTACATCTGGAAAAGCAAAATTTCCTAAAATGGTATGTTCATCACTATCCATTCCTTTAATTTAAAAAGCTATTAGACTGTAATAATTATTCTTGACACTTACCTTTTGTTTTGACAGATAGTCTCCACCAAGACACTAACAAGACCATTAGTTTTAAAAAATGGCAAGCCTGCTGGAAAAGGAAGCATTACGGTAGGACGATACCATTTCTCCTTCTTGCCTCAGTCCCACACAATGCATTGTCCTCAAACATAACTTACCATATATACTTGAATAGAATATGTCCTTGAATGTAAGACATCTCCCAATAATTAGATTCTGTATATGGGCAATTTATAAATTTGTTATAATTTTCCAGGTATGGAGGTTTGCCTTGAATTTGCCCTCTTTGCAGTGCTATAGCAGGGAAAATAAATATGAGGGAGAGGTTCCAGGGGCCTCCTTGCCATTAATTCATATTGTAAAAACTAAATTGTCTCTGTTTTTTATCACTCCATTCTTGAGCAACTGTAGATTCTTTCTGGCTCCTTTCTAGGTATTTTGTGAACAGTATTAAAGAAATACGGAGTACCTGAATGTAGAGTGCAATGTTTTTCTTCCTTATTTTAATTATCTACCTAGATTACAGCAGAAGAAGTAAAAGATAACAGAGTGGTCTTATTGGAAGTAGAAGCAAGGAAACTAGACAATAAGGTAATTAGTTCATTGCTATATAAAATAGTAAAACTGGAATTTTCTGCAGTTCTTAATTTTCTTTCAACAGAAACATATCTGAAAGTTCTTGATAGATAATTTGTTTACTTTCTATGAATTTGATCATGTTCCAGCCAGTATTTGATAATATTCATACCATTGGCTATTCTGAGATAGTTAGTTAGTTATTTATTCTTTGAATACAGGATTTCTTTGGGAAGTCGGACCCATATTTGGAATTCCACAAGCAAACGTCAGAAGGAAACTGGGTGATGGTTCACAGAACAGAGGTATGACAGTATTTGGGTCAATGGTATGAAGTTTCTTGAGTTAGTCTGACTTTTGTTCGGGCAAGAACAAAAGTGTAAAGGTGGTGTCACATTTCTCCAACTTTAAGGCATGCTAAGTGCAGTTAAAACTCAAGCAGCTGCACTTTCCAGCAGTTTAGCACATGTAAAGTGCCCTCTTAGCATTGCAAAGTTGTTTCTTTTCAAGTGAAGATTATCTCCTTAGCATGTACTAACGTTAATACATTGCAGTATTCCTATAATTTGCAACTGTTGCAAGTGAACCTATGATAAGGTCCTGGCACTCTCTCCAGAGAAGACAGTAGTCTTGTAGTTAGAACAGTAGTCTTAAGTACTTAAGCTTTTTCAGCATTTCCAGAGGCTTTTTTTGTTTGGCCCTGGGATAGCCACTGAATGTTTGTCTCTCAATTCTTCATCTTTAAAATGAGGATGGATAGAATTTATCTCCTACTTTTTTTTCGTCTCCCAAGAGGTGTAAAGAATTTTGTGGGGAAAATATAATACCTGCCTTTTTCTTTTTCTTTTTTTCCTGCACCATCGTTTTTATGCTTCTCTATTAGGGCTCCTGCATTCTCTAAAACAAATGATCAGTTCTTAAAATCAGTGTTCTAGCATGGGGTGAATAACTGAACATGGGTTTAAAATAAATTTGTGTGTTTACTATAAAATGGCCTAACGTTTTTAACAATTTTAATATTAAGTATAGTCAAGGCATTTTACTCATTGCTTGTGCATTTTTTTCAGTACAACTTCAGCATATGTCTGGCCAAATTTAGACTTATAAAAAATCTTACTATTTTTCTGTAAAGGATTTTTACTGTATCCAATCTAATTGCAACCTGTTGCATCTTATGTATACTTCACAATCTGAGAATTATGAAACTCTTCCATGCATGTTTATAATAGTTTTATGAAGTTCTCCTTTTACCCTTTTGGGTTGATACAAGTATACATTGCCTTTCTATTCATGCAATCTAGAATTTCTGGCGGTAGTGATCTGGAAGTTGTGTTCAGCATAAATACGTGCTGGGGTGAAATAAGACTCAAGAACACAATGCCTATAAATGATAGTGTATCTCATTGTCTCACTCTTACTGGTAAGCTATATTCCCCTATATCAAAATGCTGCCTATAGCAGTGGGTCTTCCCTAGAAACAGTGAAATCTTGCCTCCAACCATGCTTAGGATGATATGGCAGATTATATGTCTCTCCCAGGATATATGGAATTTCTAGCAGGGAGCAGTAGTCTCCAGTCTCCAAGTGAGTGTTGTATTCTTAGAAAGTGTTCTTCCTGTAGTATGAAATGCCAATTTTGAGATGTGTTTGTAGATGGATCTCCTGATAGTGCACATCAGTACCTCTCATCTCTGAATATGCATTCTAAACGAATGGTCACTCCCTGTTTCTGACTTGCTAATGATCCTTTATCAACATTTTTGGTAGGTTATTAAGAACAACCTGAATCCTGTTTGGAGGCCCTTTAAAATATCTCTCAATTCTCTATGCTACAGTGACATGGAGAAACCAATTAAGGTAAGATTTAAGTAATGCGCTAGTAAGGGTAAATGCAATATGTCTAAAGAAACTATTGTCATATTAATTTATATGTTAAATATAAAATAGTTATTTTTATTTGTAAGTAACAGTGGATTAGGTAACTTTTATAGCTCCTGATTATCTGACCATTTGTGTGTTATGGTATGTGATTTTTTTTTTAAGATTCTGTCAGTTCTTGCATCCACAAGTTAGAAAGACTGTTAAACTAGAATTAATGTTAATCTTCCTCGTAATTTGTTGTTTGAATAATACAGTGTTATCACAACATTTGGCATTATCAGTATTAAGGATGTGCAAACTACATAGTGAAATAACAGATGATAGAGGCTGAAATATCTTAAATTGTCTCTCAGGGATCTTGAAACATTTGTTGGTGATGCAGTACCAGCAACTTGTATGAAGATTTCCAGAAGGTAGACTATGTGCAAAGCGTAAACTATTTCCTCTTACTACTTTATTTTAACATTCAGTTTTACCTAGGTTTTCTCTCACACCCGAGCCCAAGACAAGCTGTCATCTGATGCTATATTTTTTTCCTGCTGTTTGTTAATTTTCTTTTCACTCTGCACTCGTCACAGCTACCTGGTCCTCTTCCTGCTTTATTCTAAAATAGCAAGTCCTTTTATCACTTTCCTTTATCTCACAAGAAGATAAGGCCAGCAGGGTCACTTTGACAACACAGGAAGTATATTTAAAAAAAATAACCCAAATGCTTAATGCTATTGGCACTCCCTCTTAACTTTGGGTAGTCTTAAACAAACATAAAAATCAGTTGTCGTCTTCTGTAGTCTTTTTTTATTAGATTTAAATTAACCTGTTTTATGCAAAGTACCTTTCTGAATTTGGTGTATGAAGACATGTCCCAGTTCAGTCTGGCTCAGGCAGTCTGATGTGATAAGGTGGGCTCTACTTACAGGACAAGGGTCTAATCAATCATAATTGTGCACTAGCTTCTACCAACAACATACTGTGTGTATTTACATGAGACTTACTGTGGAGCTGACTAATTAGCTCCACAGTAAAGGCTCAGTATCTACATGTGCACCCTTACTAGGGCACAGTAAGCTAATAAATGTGGCCATACGTCAATATTTGTGAACACAAGTGCTATTCTATGGCAGCATTATTTAGTGCACTGCAGCACATGTGTAGATACTGACCTGGCTTCCTGCGGCATGAGGGTGCTTCAGCCTGCCGGCTGGCCCCATACTGGAGTACCCTCATGCCCCATTCAGCCTCTCTCCAGCAGCTCATTGAGCTGGGTCGGAGCAGTCCCTGGATGGCAGTCTGACCTCCTGGGTCCACTGCCAGCTAGGGCTGCTCCAACACAGCTCAGTGTGCTGCAGTCCTGGGCACATGTGTGAATGTGGTGCCCAGGAGCAATAAACTCTGGCATGAACTGCACCAGAATGTATTGCATCACACTAATAGCACACGTAGATACTCCCACTGACTCCAGAATAGACCTTTCTTTATTACTTATACTGATACCTTTGGTTATCTGATACTCTGCATCAGGTGAAGACAGTGTCTTGGAATATTAGCACTTGTGGAAAAAAAGGACTGAAAACAAATTGTCTAACACTTCTTTTTTTCAATTCTATGCTGAACCTGTTCATTGGGCCAAAAGACCCTTTCCATCTATTGCATTCTTTCAAATAGAATATGCCCTTTTTAAAAACAAATATGGTTCTAAAATTGAAAATTGTCTGTGACTTGTAAATTTGCCTTCATTTTACTTAATTTAAGTGTTGGAAAATTTGTGTGTGTTTAAACTCATGGGGCGTGTCCACACACATATTAGCATGTGCGTTTGCAGCAGCTGATATAGAAGTGGTGCAAATTTGAGCTGGGGCTTTTTGCCTTGGCGCACATGCCCAGACATGCACTTTGGTGTGGGGCAAATTGTGCCACTTAGGGCAAAATAACCCTGCCTGGCCCCTCCTGGATCTGCAGCCATATAAAAAGCTGCCCTAGCAAGTAGCTCAGGGCTACTCGCTCTCAGGAGCTTCTTGGGCCTGGCTAATTGGTACCTGGGGACACCACCCCTTGTGCCAGCTGGACTGCTGAAGCAGCCCTGAGAGTTCCCTGCACTCTCTACCCACTGCAGCAGTCTGGCAATGGGGGCTGCTGCTTGGCTGTGACCTGCTGCCACCTGCGAAAGCTGAGGTTTTATATGAGGCCTTAGAGTTGCACACCTCCGGCCCCCACCAACTCCTACTTACCTGGCACGGAGCCCGGATCTCTGCAGCCTGCTGCTTGCCCTGCATGGGCAGGCAGCCTGCTTCAGCACTGGGGCAAGCACCAGCCATAGAGACAGTCTGGCTGGCTACCAGAGCATCTCTGCAGAGGATCTCTGGTCGCCTGCCTTGTTTTTTTTGCCCAGGTTTTATATTGCTTCCTGGATGTATAGGTACCAAATTTTGAATCTGCGCTGCAAATATACAGTGCAGAGAATGTGTTTTTGTTCCCGCACATGTGCCTTGCAGTGTCTCAAAGGGATTTGAGATGCTGCAAGAGGCACATGTGCACTCATGTGGATGCGCCCATGGGTGTTTTATTTAAAGAAATACAGTACCTCTACTGGAAATGCCAGTTCCATTTCCAGGAGGTGTTTAACATGTTAAACAAATTCATCAATTTTGAGACCCCGTAGTTCACAGTACCAAGCATTAAGAGAGAAATCCTACTCTGAAAATACTGTTGACATCAAGGAATGCTTCTGAAATAGCTTGGATCAGTCTCCCAGTACCAACCAATCAACCAACAACCTGTTGCTTTCCTGGAGTTCAGTGCATTTACTGTACCAGCGGACAACCTGGGAGTGTTAAGACATGACCTGTGAATCAAATCTATGAGTTTTCTTCCTCCAGTTACATTCAGAATAAGAATTGTAACTATGGAATAGCATTTACAGGGCCATAATGGAGTTTGTACGTTGACACAGACATGTCTCCCAATATGTCATGGTAGTGTGTACATCTAAAGAGATCTTAATTACAGAGGTGTAAATCTAAAACTACCTTATGGATTGTCAAGGACTTATTCTGTATTTACACAAATACAGCAGGTCAGGTTCGAATCGGCTGCTTCTTAACTTGATAAAATAATGGCTCGTAGAAAAAAAAACTGCTTCCAAGTGAAGTGTAAAACCATATTGTCATGTTGTTTGAAGGACTAAACCATGCTTTAATACTTTTATACACACAGTGGCATGCATAATGGGCTATTTTATTATAGTAAGTAAAAATATTTTCCAGCTTTCCCTAATGTGAATGCCTCTTCACCTATTAAATAGCTCAATTGTGCATTCTCCAGTAATGCACAAATCAACTTGCTGCACTGTCTCATTAATTTATTTCTATATTGTGTGTGTATTTGAAGTGAGTCAGTGAAGTCTTTCTGTACCACAAATGTGAGCCTCTCATTTTGAGCAAGCATGCATGAATTCATCAGTTTTGAAGGGGGAAAAAGGAAACTAATAATTGTGTTATGTGGATTCATCTACATCATTGCATGAGCAGTTCTGAGAGGGGTGTAAGGGCTTTGGGCTAACAAGTACCTCTCTTTTGCCTGAACTAGGAATAGATCCCCTTTTTGACCCAAGGGGGGCATAGAGTTAGGTATACTGAATATCTGAAATGAGCAGAAATGTTTTGCCTCTTAAAATGGTTTAAAAAAAACCCGCTACCGTATACATTTATGGGACAAGCTATGTTAATAACTGAACGAAGTGTTACTACTGTTGACAGAAAATATGACTTCAGTATTGAGGTTTAGCTAATGATGCAGTTGGCTGAATAGCTGGGCCACCTTGAAAAATCTGCATCGTATCTCACTCTTGCATCAAACCTGTTCTAGAAGTTTTTATTATTTTTGTCTGTCTGAAGTGTGAATTTGTGTTTAATGCATGTGCATGTGTTGCATTTATTTAATAGAGCCACACAAAACAGACTAGAAGCTCTGTGAACAGGGATCTGCATGGTAGAGGTGCAATCTAAACCAAACAGTAATGTGGAAATACTGAAATGTATTGTTCAGGTGAATAGTTGGTTTCTCTGAGAAACAAAGAGTTTATTAAGATTGCACTTTTTGTCAGAAACAAAACTAGAGAGACAATCCAGCTTTTAATATGCTAGTGAACAGTATATTACTTATTATCTGATAGAGAGGAGCACAGGTAAGAAGGGAATTAAACTAAGTATTTTCAAGAACGTTTTTATCCAGGGTCAGTATATTAGTCGTGAGTAATGGCCTGACCAGCGCCGCATAGAGGGGGAGCAAGACCTCTCCGGACCTGTTAGTGATACCCCTGTTGATGCAGGACAGGCTGCGGTTGGCTCAATAGAGGGGAGCAACAGGCTACGGTTAGACCTAGATAGATTACAAGGATGGGCGGAGGAGAACAGGATGGGGTTTAACACAGAAAAGTGTAAGGTGATACACCTGGGGAGGAACAATAGGCACCACACATACAGGCTGGGGAACTCCCCTCTTGTCAGCACGGAGGTGGAAAAGGATCTGGGAGTCATTATTGACTCCAAGATGAACATGAGTCGGCAATGTGGGGAGGCGGCTAGGAAGGCCAACTGCACCTTGTCGTGCATCCACAGATGCATCTCGAGCAGGTCCAAGGAGGTGATCCTCCCCCTCTATGCGGCACTGGTCAGGCCGCAGCTGGAGTACTGCGTCCAGTTCTGGGCGCCGCACTTTAAGAGGGATGTGGACAGCATCGAGAGGGTCCAGAGGAGGGCCACTCGTATGATCAAGGGACAGCAGGGTAGGTCCTATGAGGAAAGGTTGCGGGACCTGAACCTGTTCAGCCTTCAAAAGAGAAGGCTGAGGGGGGATCTTGTGGCCTGTTATAAACTGGTTAGGGGGGATCAGCAGGCGCTGGGGGAGTCCCTGTTCCCCCGAGCGCCGCAAGGAGTGACCAGGAACAATGGTCACAAGCTGGCGGAGGGAAGGTTTAAGTT